CCCCCCACCAACCCAAGCTAACGTACCCCGTGAGGTCTGGAATAGGGTGAGTGATGTCGTCGTTGGGCATGGTGAGGATGGGGAACTGCGTGACACTCCCCGACTTGCCCTCCACCCGGCCCGCACGCTCGTACAGCGTCGACAGGTCCGTGTACATGTAGCCGGGGTACCCGCGGCGACCCGGCACCTCCTCACGCGCAGCCGACACCTCGCGCAGGGCATCCGCGTACGACGACATGTCCGTCATGATGACCAGCACGTGCTTCTCGCGCTCGAACGCCAGATACCTGACATGATCACACACACATACCATACACGTGATGGGTGCACTGTGGCGGCTGTGTGTGTGTGGGTGTGGGTGGGTGGGTGGGTGGGTGTGTTTGTGTGGCTGACTCAGCAGTTGTGAGTGCCAGTCTGGGTGTGATGATGCGCTCGATGGTGGGGTCGTTGGCGAGGTTCATGAAGAGCACCACGTTCTCCTGCACACACACACACACACGGAGAGAGAGAGAGAGAGAGAGAGAGAGAGGTATGGGAGTCAGCGCGCCTCCCTCTTTGTGTAGTGTGTTGTGGTGACCATGGATCCGTTCTGTTCGAAGTCCTGTCTGAAGAAGCGGGCCGTTTCCATGTTGATACCCATGGCCGCAAACACAATGGCGAAACTCTCCTCACTCTCGTCCTTCTTGTCGCCGTGCTGCATTGCACACACACACACACACACACACACACACACGCCCCGCATTCTACGTATGCCTGTGCGGGTGTGTTGTGTGGAGTGTCGCCGGCTCCCTGCTGACCTTGACCAGACACGCCTGACGGCATATCTGGGAAGCTGACACACACACATACACAGAGGATGGCCGGACACATCAAGACGATGAGTGTGCGGAAGCGCGTTGTGCGTGTGGTGCCTGTCTGTCCCTCTCTCTCTCCCGTGCGTACCGATTTCGTTGTGTGGCAGTCCAGCGGCCGAGAAGAGGGGGATCTTCTGGCCGCGCACCACCGTGTTCATGACGTCGATCGTGGATATGCCTGGTGCATGCAACACAAAACGTGTCTGTCAGAGTGTGGCTGTCGACTCCCTGACCGACTCACCGGTCTGAATCATCTCCTCGGGGTAGACGCGGCTGAAGGGGTTGATCGGCTCACCCTGCACAACACACACACACACACAGACACGCAGAGAACGAGCAAGTGAGTGAGCACCACACGCTCCACGCCAGCTGATGGCATGACGCCTTCTGTGCTGTGTTGTGTTGTGCTGTGTTGTGCTGTGTTGTGGTCGCACATTGATGGACAAGAAGTCTTCGGCGAGCACCACGGGTCCCCCGTCGATGGGCTTGCCCGAGCCGTTGAAGGCCCGGCCGAGCATCTCCTCCGACACGGGCATCTTCATGATGTCTCCCGTGAACTCCACACGGCAATTCTTGTTGTCGATGCCCGTCGTGCCCTCAAACACCTTGATTAACATGACAGCATGACAACCACACACACAAAGATGGCCACATGCGCGCGTGTGTCGTGTGTATGTGTTCGCCCAGAGGCCCCGCCCAGCGGCCCACCTGGACGACGGCCTTTTTGCCATTGATCTCGAGCACCTGCCCCTGCCGTATGGTGCCGTCCGCCAGCTCGAGCGACACGATCTCGGCGAACTTTGGGAATTTGACGTCATTGAGGATGACGAGCGGGCCCTGCACGCCGGCCACCGTCTTGTAGTCGAGCCGGGGGGCCACCTTGTAGTCGCGCGTGATGGCTTTGACCTGCGCGTCCACACCTGCCATGGCGGATGGCGGTCAGTCAGGTGGGGCGGAGAGAAGGGAAGGCGGAGATCAAGATGGGGCAGCCAATCGGCTCGCCGAAGGGCTTCAGATGCTCTAGCTTCTCCCCTTTTTTCCCCGCTTCTCTTTCTGCGAGCTCAGGCGTCAACGCAGCCTGAGATGCGTTTGAATGATTCAGATCTGCCGCCTGGACGCTGCATGTTTGTGCGGGCAGTCATCCTGTAGCTTGCGGAGCTCCAGATCTTTCTTCCTGGGAGATGCTTTTTCTGATGATCTGAGGACGGACGGTGAGCCGCGCCGCCCGCAAAGAAAGGGCGAGGAAGACACACACGCACACACACACACACACACTTACACTTTTGCAGTCAGGCTGCATATGCAACTTGCGACGCGTCCACGCATTTGTCGGTCTCTTTCTAGTCGCCTGCCTGCCTGCCTGCTTGCCTAAGCACCCGGATGGCAGAGAATCCAACGAACGAACGCGACACACTTGAGGTGAGGACGACACGAGCAAGCACAAACAGTCACTTCATTCCCTCGGCTGCTTCATCGTTTGCATGTTTATGTCGTTTGTTTCGCCCGTCACTCAGGCGTTGTATCCGTGGTGGGGAGTGATGGGAGCGTCCGGTGGGCATGGGTGTCGAGGCATGACTTGACACTGAGTGGCGTTCGGGTGGCGTTCGAGCGCCTGTTCTTCGTCCAGGAATGCCCCTCCACACATGCCCGCCGAGCACCAACACCACCATCACGACTTACCAGTCACGTACAGTCGCCGTCACATGTGCAGCTGTGGTGACAGCTCCCGCACGCCCCACACCGGCACCACACCCCTCCCCCTGCGGGGCGTCCGTAGGGTAGGACGCACAAAGTCGTGGCATTACCGTTGCTGATGCTGGATGATCTGAGGGGCCGTCCAACAGAATGTCCAACATCAGCGGCGCCACCGATGCGACTCTGAGCGTTCTCATCAAGATGTGCCTCGAGTGGTGCGGATAGCTGGGCTGGGTGTGGTGTGGTGTAGATGCCGTGAGCAGTGACAAGGGTGCGAGTGCGTGGGCTGTCCTTGCGTGTCTTGTCTGTCTGGACAATCGAACGCATACGTGGGGTGGGTGGGTGTACAGTGTACAGAAGAGGGCTAGTTGTGCTCTGGTGTTTGCATGTGTGTGTGCACGTGTGGAGTGGACGACTGTACTGGAGATGGAACCCATCCCGTGAGGGATGAGGGCATGAGGAGACTGCATCCCTCGTCAGGAATCAACCGAACAGATGAATGGATGGCATACATACCTGGGGATACGTATGGGTGAATGACCATACCGACAGACTTCACATGCCCGCGCAAAAGGCCTTTGATGAGTGGTTGTTTACACACACATCGCATTCGCGCCGCCATCGTGTCCAGCCAACAGAATGCAGCGTCTACACCTACAACTCTAAACTTATCACACACACAACACACCACGTCACCCTGGTCGTCTCTCGTCTGCCCCAGCCTCATCTACCTCGCGTCAACCCACACACAGGCAGACAGACAGACAGGCAGACAGGCAGCCGCTGGAAAAAAGGCACCTCAGCCAGCCGCTACGCTCCCTCCCCCATCACTTGCCACCCTCCGCCTCCTCTTTGGCCTTGGCCCCATCTGCCGCCTCTCCGCCAAAGTACTTCCACTTGATGATGCGATAGAGCTGATAGCTGCCGCTGGAGCCCATCGCCAGGTTGACCGAGAAGAGGTTCCAGTTGACGGGGATGATGACCATCGAGTAGCGGCACCAGATGACGCCCGTGGCGGCGACGGCCGTCTGCTGGGCGACCGACATCTTGTCGACGGGCCGGTTGATGTCCATGAGGTTGGCGATGGAGATGGCCCACTTGAAGGTGGGCGCCCAGAAGTGGATGGTGAAGGGGCCTGCGGGGTGGTCCAGGAAGCTCTTGACCGGCGCAGGCAGGGGCATCGACATCACACGGGCCTTGACCACCGGCTGCACACACAAACAGGCGCTCCATTCTGAGGATGGCTTCTCGGGTTACGTGTAGATGCTTACCACAATGCCAGGCATGACGAGCTTGTCGATGAAACTCATCAGATCTATCTGCAGCCCCGTGTGCTGATAGGTTTCCGTGAGGCCGAACCCTACACCCCTACGAAACCCTAGGACAAATTGTCTGGCATGTTTCTCCGACGTGAGTGAATGAGAGGCAGCGACGTTTCAACCGTTTCAAGATCTCTTCCAATTTTGTCCATCCTGCTCTTTCTCTGGCTCCATCCCTCGGCTCCCTTCCCTCTGCCCGTCCCAGCCTCCACACGCGCAATCAACGGCTATGCGCCAGCGATTGACCTCCGCCGGGCAGCATCCGATGCAGATCTGGCACATGGGGCTCTCCGGGGAGGAGATGACGAGAGTTCACTTGTTTCGCTACCAGCACCTGTGACGGCTTTCGACTCGTGGACTGATCCATCGCTCGTCAGTTTGTTGGAGAGGCGGGCTCACCTGCATCCAGCCACCGTCGAGGCCATTGCAGCTTTGCCGCCGCAGGCCGGTCTCCACCTGTTGCCGCCGACTTCCCTTCTCGCTTTGCTGAGGCTCTTCCGGCAGCACCGCTGGAGGCCCTCAGTGCAACACGCTGCCCATCAATGCCTCGCCCATCTCGTCCACGAGGGCCACCATCTTATCGACGCCATGAGTTATCAGGAGCTCACAGAGCTTGTGAACACTCTAGCGGCGCTTCCACTGGATGAGCGTCTTACAAGGGCCGTGCTGTCTTGCGTCGAGGAGGCACTAATGGTGAGGGGCCTGCCGATGACGGCTGGCGATATGACCGTGGTCGACTGGCGACAGCTGAACGAGATTGTGGCGGCGCTTGACCGCCAAAACGTGCATCTCCGTCGACAGCTGCTCAACAAATGGGCCGTGGCCATCACGGACAGCGTCGTCCACCAGGACTCCCAGCACCGGAGGAAGCGGCAGCAGAGAGAGGGGCATCACGACGATGAAGCCATCTTGGGTTTCTTCAAGCGCCTGCAGCACCTTGGTTATCAATCCGACCCTCTCCTGCGCATCGTCGTAGCCAAGGCAGCGCCACTTGTGGGCCAGGGCAGCCTCGGCCTTCATGCGGCCATGGAGCTCCTCCGCACAAGCGCCTTATTCCGCGTCATGGATGAGGATTTCTTTCATGCCGTCATGACGCGCCTCACCGGCGAGCTGCGAAAGGCTAGGAGCGCGGATGGACTGAAAGGCACCCAAGGCGGCTATCCGGTGGCCTTTCTGTTGCTGGCATGTGCGGACCTGGTGTTCAATCTGTCCAAGATGCTGGGCAAGGGAGCCAGTCTGAGGAAGAGGATGGTCAAGGGTTTGAGGGAGATGGCAGAGCTGGTTGGCGAGTCGGTGCCACTGATGTCATCCAGAGACCTGAGCTGTCTCATCTGGGGCTACGGGCGGCTGCGAATCGCACCTGAGAACCTCTTCCAGGCAACGGT